GCGCTGAAATCTCAGAGCCTATTCTGGCTCAGAAGGCTGCCTAGTTCACGAATCATTCATTGCTCAGTTAAACTCCATTACATTTAATTCAGCTGAAGATTTTATCACTGGTTTCTCCTTTTCTTCCCATCCATTTAATACTGAGGTGCTTTGGGGCTGAGCCCTAGCCCCTCTTTATCTGTATCTACTCCCTTGCTGACCTGTTCCAGGTTCATGTCTTTAAATACCATCTTTATGCCAACAAGTCCCAAATGTGTGCCTTCAGTGCAGAACTCCCTCTGAGTTCCAGACGTAAGAACATTCAAATATGAACTCCTGATCTTCCTTCTAAACCTGCCCCACCCCTCAGCTTTTTCATCTCAGTTGATGATAACTAAGCATAGCAGTTTATTAGGTCAGAAAAGTGACAAGGGACTCGCAGAGACTTGTGTGGAGTTTGAGTTTTCTCTGAACAAGATAAGGAGACAGAGAGTTTTGAGCAAGAAGTGGAATTATCTGGCATATTTTAAAAGGCTCATTCTGGCTGCTTTGCAGAGAGCAGACAGTGGAGGCACAAAGATATATCAAGAGAGACCAGTTAGGAGGCTGCTGCAATAACCCAGGTGTGAGATCATGATGACTTGGATCAGGGTAGTAGTAGTGGTAAGAAGTGGTCAGATTCTGGATGTGTTTTCAAGGTAGAGTTAAGACGATTTCTTGGCAGGATGCAGGATGTGAAAGAAAGAGAAGTCAGGGATGATTCCAAGACTTTTAGTTTGAGCAACTAGAAGAGTGGTGGTGTTACCTTCAACTGAGATGGGGAAGATTGCATAGTGAGTTTGGGATGTCCACTAGATATTGAAGCAAAATGTTTGAATGGGAATTTGAACATTTTAGTCCATTTGAAGTTCAAAAGAGAGGTCTGAACTGGATATGTAAAATTGGGAATCATTGCCTTATAGATAGTATTTAAAACCTCAGACTGGAAGAGATCACTAAGGTCTTAGACACTTACAGTAAAGAGAATTTCCTATAGACCTAGAGCATTGGTTCTCAACCAGAGGTGCTTCCCCTGGGGATATTTGAAAATGTCTAGAAATATTTTTGGTTGTGGGGAGTCGTTGCTACTGGGACCTACTGGACAGAGAGCAGGGATGCTACAATATATATCTATCCTGTAATGCCTAGGACAGCCCCCAACAACAAAGAATTATCTGGCCAAAAAGTCAGTAGTGTCAAAGTTGAGAAACCCTTGTATAGATGGAAAAGACCAAGGACAAAGCCTGGGATACTGCAATATTTAAGAGGTAGAGAGGAAGAGGAGGAACCAGCAAAGGATACAGAAGAGTAATCAGGCAAATAGGAGGAAACTAAAAGTTGTAGATCCTGGAAGGCAAGTAAAGAAGGTTTATCAATAAGTAGGTGTGTCGAATGCTGCTGATTAGGGGCATGGTGTCAGTTGCCTGTAGTTCCAGCTACTGGCGAGGCTGAGGCAGGAGGATTGCTTGAGCCCCAGAGTTTAAGGCCAGCCTGGGCACCTAGTGAGATGATGTCTCCAAAAAAAAAAAAAAAAAAAAAAAAAAAAAGCTACTCAGTCAAATTGGATGATAACTGAGAATTATTTGTTGTATTTGTCAACATGCATGTCATTTATGATCTTGAGAAAAACAGTTTCAGTGTATGTGTTGGGTGGATTTAAGATAGAATGGAAGGAAAGGGAGATTGCAGACAACTAGTATGTACAAGTTTTGGGAGAGGTTTTGCTGCAAAGGAAAACAAAGAAATGGGGCAGTGGCTGGCCAGAGGTAAGTATCAGAGAGTTGGGCATGAGTTTAGAGTGCTAACTGTCAGACCACATCAAGGGCCTTTGAATCAAGGACAAGGCAGATCCAGGTTGAAATGATTCTGGACACAGGTGTAGAATGATAAAAAGGTCTAGAAATTAATTATGTTTTTGGGTGACAGCTTCATGAGTCAGAGGCAGGTCTGATGACTGGAGCCAATTGTACCAGACGGTTCTAAGACACACTGTTCTTTATATTCTACTCTTTTCTGTCCAAATAAAGGACTGGAGCTGGCATATGAATTCTTTGCAATAACTCAGTACAAGATTCCCTGCTGTCTCTGACTTCTAGGGGTAGGCTTATTCTTATTTTATGTGGCTCCAAGGGTGCAGGTAAGTTTCAGGACTCTCTCTGTCTGGACGATTGCAGCAGTCATTTATCTGACTCCAGCTTGCTGCCTTTTACTCCCTTCTCTATTTCCAGAGTGATCTTTCTAAATGCAAATCTGAGTCTATCATTCCCCATCTAAAAACTGTGTATAGCTTCCCATCCTAATCAAGATAAAATTCAGGCTCCCTTGTGTGGCATACAGTATTATCTTAGACTTAGTTTTCCCTGTGTTTTCCAGGCTTGTGTCCAGCTTTTCTGTGCCTTGCAGTGGATGTTGGATTTCTCCACATCCATGGTTCCATGTACTCACCACGCAGAGTCAGACCTCCAAACCTGTGCTTAACTTGTTTACCCTTCTATAACACCCTATCTACTTTTCTGTGTTTGGTTAACTCCTGCTCATTGTTCAAGACTAATTTCCTTTAGGAAGCGGTGTACATTAGAATTCAATGGGGTTACAAGTGACAAAAAATAACTGGCTCTGTTGCTGCCCTGGAGTAAACATGAGAAAGAAAAGGATATTCTGGGGTCCATGGAGAGGAACGTCAGATGCCTCTCTGAATGGGCACCAGCCCCATTTTAACCATTTTTAAGTGCACAGTCCTGTGATGTTAAGTCATTTGCATTGTTGTGCTTTCCTGGTACTTCTTGAGCTCTTTTTATCTGTAGACATTGGTCCTCCCTTAATTCAAGATAATTATCTTCTAGCATATCTTAACAATCTGTTCTTGGAACCACTATTATTCAACTGGGACTGGCAAATCCCAGCCTGATCTTTCTTAGATTTCAAGACTATGATGTTCCTGCCTGGTATGTGCCTTCAACTCTAGGGAATTAAAGTCATGTATTTTGCTTTGTTTTGTTTCACATTTTGCCTGAGCCTTGTTTTAGATTAACTGGTCACTTCATTAATTCATTCAATGACTGATTCACATACGGGTTTGCTGTAATTTACTATGTAAAAAGTCTGTTTCTTCTGGCTTAATCATCAGGGTTTCTGGAGGTGTGGAATAGCAGACTAATTATCCCTCTGTAACCACTCATGTTTTTGAGATGAATTACCTGTAGTATGAATTATTTGCTCATTCACCATATTATTTGTTTAAAAATAACAATTGGGCACTTGTCACTTACCAGACACAGTACTTGGTGCTCAGGATGCAGAATAAAAGACATTCCTTGTCCTGAAGAAGCTGCAGTCTAGTGTCAGGGTAGACAAGGAAATAAGAGTGGAGCATAATAAGTTCTTAGGTCAAGGTATACCTGAGGTGTTATGAGAGTCCGGAAGATGGGGCATGTGATTGAGACTTGGAGTCAGGGAAAAACCTCAAGAGAAAGTAGTGCGTGGAGGTTGCAGTGAGCCGAGATCATGCTGCTGCACTCCAGCCTGAGAGACAGAGTGAGACTCTGTCTCAAAATAACTAACTAACTAACTAGCTAACTAACTAAATAAATAACATAGTGCCTGAACTGAGTGATGAGAGACCTAGGAGTCAACAGGAAGCTAACATGGGCTGAACCAGCTTGATAAAAATAAAACTCTCCACAATTTCATCAACACTAACCCACACCATTTCAAATAAATATTCAAAGTAAAAAAAAAAATGTGCTTGTTAGGCAACTTTATCATAAGTTCCCTAATCTCCATCAACCCACCCCAATGTTACCCCAATTAAATACATAATACAAGTTCCTCAGTTTCAACTAGATCCCCACCTGGATTCCTATCCCTCTTCTAGAGACTTCTGGAATGTCACTGCCCTATTTTCTTCAGCCCATTCCATCCCTCAAACTCACCCCTCTCCCTGTTACCTACAAATCAGCATCATCCTTGGGCTTATCTAAAGAAAGTAATGAGAGATAGGTGGAGTTAAAGGACAAGGCAAAGTTCAGGGGAGAGATGAGGCTTTAGGATGAAAAAGGACCAGGATTGGGGTGGGAATAACTTCTGCACATATCCTGTGGTATTGTGTGGCATTAAGAGTTGGTCTTATACTTTAGAAGAACTCTTTTCTCCATCTCTGGTGGTAGGGTAGAGGATAAAGTGGAGAGAGTCTTACTAGTGCATCTTGCCAAGGGCTTTTTTTTTTTTTTTTTTTTTTTTGAGACAGGTTCTAGCTCCGTCAACCCGGGCTGGAGTGCAGTGGTGTGATCGTAGCTCACTGCAACCTTGAACTCCTGGGCCCAAACGATCCTCTTGCTTCAGCCCCTCAAGTAGCTGGGACTACAGGCACGTGCCACTATGCCTGGCTAATTTTTTTATTTTTGTAGAGTTGAGGTCTCAAACTCCTGAGCTCAAGCAATCCTCTTGCCTCGGCCTCCCAAAGTGTTGGGATTACAGGTGTGAGCCACTGCACCAGGTCCATTTTAACCATTTTTAAGTGCACAGTCCTGTGATGTTAAGTCATTTGCATTGTTGTGCTTTCCTGGTACTTCTTGAGCTCTTTTTACCTGTAGACATTGGTCCTCCCTTAATTCAAGATAATTATCTTCTAGCATGTCTTGATTTTTTTTGGCCACTTTCGTTGTATGTGTCAGAGTGTGTGTGTGTGTTTTAACCAGCATATCAAATCGTGAGTCTACCTTCTGAGGAGAATGCAGCAATGTGGTTCTAGTGGTTTCCTTCTTCTTATTCTCCTGGGCTGCTTCAGAATTTAAGTGTTTGGTTTAACAAGGTTAAGGAGCTGGTTATTATTATTATTTTTTTTTTGGAGAGAAGTCAGCAAAACGCTCTGTGGATAAACCAAGAACTTAGTATGCAAAGGGCTTTTGGTAGCCTGGGCACACAACCCGAGTACACATGGTATGAGTGAGTGTCCACATACAAGCATGCCCTTGCTTTCCTAGGTCACCTGTGGAGAAAGAAACATCATCTTTCAACAGAGGATCATTCCTCTGTTTGATGATACGTGCATCCTGGCATCTGGAATTCAATTGACTATTCTGTCTTAGAGCCAAGAATCTAGAAAGTGAGTGGAAACATCAGATGTGAGTCAATATTTCACAATGTCGTTTAAGAGAACATATCAACACTCAGTTAACAAGCAGCAGCCCTGTGTGGACGATGATGAAGACTGGACACATATGAGGGTGTGAATGTGGAAGAGGGCTGGGGCTGGGGACTTTTATAAGAATATTTCCGTGCCTAGGTCAGTACTGGCCACATGTTTAGTTAAGCAGGACATTTCCTTACTGGGAGTCCAGTTGGAATTGATTTTCCATCAATTCCAATAAAGATCAATTTATTTTGATCTTTGATTTTCTCCATTTTAATAGGTTGTTAGCGAAATCAGCTTAATGCTGGTCATATACATTGATTAACTGTTTCATTGATCATACAAACACAACCATTAAATACTTGTGTGTTACAGAGATAATTATTGTAACTATATTCATACTAGAGGGATAGACCAACAATATGCTGGGAAGGAAGTTTTTTTCTTCTTTTTAAAAGAAGTAAATTTGATACTCAAGAGGTAGTGTGGTGGACTTAGAATGCCCCTTCCTACTTTGCTCATCCTTCAAGGTCTGAATGAAACATGACCTTCTTTCCAAAGCCTTGCACAATCTTCCCAGGCCCTATCATGGTTCCTTCCTCAGCTTGTGCGTGTTCTCATAGCACTGCATAGAGCTGCATATTTACCCAAGGCAGGAAAGTGACCCTTATTTATCTTTTGCATATACTACAAGTCCAGTATATTCTGACTAGTTTTTTGTTTTTGTTATTGGTTTTCTTTTGTTTGTTGTTGTTGTTTTTTGAGACAGAGTCTCGCCCAGTCTAGAGTGCAATGGCGTGGTCATAGCTCATTGCAACCTGGAACTCCTGGCTCAAGCAGTCCGTCCACTTCAGTCTCCCTAAAGGCTGGGATCATAGGTGTGAGCCACCATGTCTGGCCCTTGATTTGGTTTTTATTTCGATCTTCAAAAAGTAAAAAGAAGGTTTATAGATTTTGCTAATTTTACAAGTAACCAGGCTCACTGGATTGGGATTAGTCAATAAAGTAGAACATGCAGTCACCTTCAGCCTATCACTTAGAGACAACCATTATGAATATTTTGGGATATTTATCTCCAGATCTCTCTGTCTCATATATGTATATATATATTTATTTATATTTATAAACTTAGAGGTAGAGATTATTCTTTTTTTTTCTTTACTTCTTTTTTTTCTTTCTTTTTTCTTTTTTTGACGGTATCTTGCTCTTTCGCCAGGCTGGAGTGCAGTGGCATGATCTCTGCTCACTGCAACCTCTGCCTCCTGGGTTCAAGCAATTCTCCTGCCTTAGCCTCCCGAATAGCTGGGACTATAGGCATGTGCCACCACGCCCAACTAATTTTTGTATTTTTAGTAGAGGTGGGGTTTCACCATGTTGACTAGGATGGTCTCGATCTCTTGACCTCATGATCTGCCGCCTTGGCCTCCCAAAGTGCTGGGATTACGGGTATCAGCCACTGTGCCCAGCCTGAGATAGAGATTTTTCTAAATAAAAATGGAATCACATTATAACTCCTTCTTCGTCAGATGCTCTTTTAACTCAATATGCCATAGGCATCTTTTCCTTCCTTCCTTCCTCTCCCCGTCCCCCTCCCTTCTTTATTTTCTCTTCTTTTCTTTTTTTTTTGAGACAGGGTCTCGCTCTGTCGCCCAGACTGGAGTGCAGCAGTGCAATCTCAGCTTACTGCTCACTGCAACCTCCACCTCTCAAGTTCAAGTGATTCTCCTTCCTCAGACTCCCGAGTAGCTGGGACTGCAGGTGTACACAAGTTTGCCCTTGCTTTCCTAGGTGACCTGTGGAGAAAGAAACATCATCACCACGCCTGACTAATTTTTGTATTTTTTTAGTAGAGATGAGGTTTCACCATGTTGGCCAGGCAGGTCTTGAACTCCTGATCTCAAGTGATCCACCCACCTTGGCTTCCCAAAGTGTTGGGATTATAGGCATGAGCCACCATGTCTAGCCGCCATAGGCATTGTTCTGTTTGAATAAATATGGAGCTAGACACACTTGTTTAACCAATCACCGTATGTTGAAATTTTAGGTTATTTCCAGTTTTTCATACTACTATAAATAATACTATGCTAAATATCCCTGTATATACGTCTTTGTAGCCTATTTTCATTTTATTTACCCAATCACTCTTTAAAAAAATCTTTTAGGATATTGTCAATATTTTCCTACTGCTATAAATAATACTTGGATAAACATTTTGTACATAAATCTTTGTCCCCTTTTTAATTTTTTTTTTTTAGGATAACTTCCTAGAAGTAACCTCATTGGTTACCCATTGGTCAAAGGGCATGTACTTGTAAAACTTTTGGATACATGTTACCAAATTACCCTGCAAAAGGTTGTGCCAATTTGCACAGTTATTACCTGTATGTAAGAATTCCCCTTTCACCCTACTCTTGGCCACAATGGGATTTGTGAACATTTTTAAAACTTTGTTAAGTATATTTTGTGAACTAGGTGTTAAACTTAACCACAAACAGCACAGTTTCTCTAGGGAAGTGTGTCCCATCTAAACGGTCAATTTAGAAACAGCCTTCCTTCATCAGCTTGTGGTTACCTGTGAAAAATACCCTGAAATCTTTCTTTAACACCACTCATTAAAAAATGTACCAAGGTGTGAGGTGGGTCCCTCCAAACTGGTTAATTACTGTGTACCAGAGGATATGAAAAAACAAAACGAAACAAAAAACCAACAACAGTCTCTTCTTTAAGGGAATTTTCGGCCATGCAATCTCATGACAACATTATCAGGTTGTTCTAGGGGATATTTATTATTAATTAATGGAGTAAACAGGTCAGTGGTATTTAGAACTATACCCACGACCCCTTGAAAAGATTCAGAGCAAGAGATAAATTGATGAGGTCCCTCCAAATATGGCTTTTTGTCCAGTAAATTATGTTTAGACACCCAGCACTAGAAATATGTAGACAAATTGGAGAGAGTTCACAGAAAGGCAATAAAAAGATGAAGGGAACGGAGGGACTGATTTATGAGGAGAGATTAAAGAAACCAAAAACACAGAGCCAGGACCCAGAAATGACTTCAGGGAGCATGAAAACAAACAGCAAATACGTTTCCGTGTAAACCACCAAAGTGGGGACTTGTTTAGCTTGGTACCAAGAACGTAAGTAGTGGCAGTGAGGTGAAATGAAAGAGAAGAATCCGACTTACTAATTTATTCAGGAGTGTCTCTAGAGAGAGGTTAGAAGTTCTCTGGCTGGAAACGTTTAGCACCAGACAGCTCTCAGCTCCCCCAAGGAGAGGATTCTAGACCGGAAAACAAGAAAATAGACTTGCAGGTTAGATCATGCCAAGCCTTGGAACCCTTCCACATTGTTACCTCATGGCGACTGTATAAATATACTATCTCGGGTCCCAAAGGTAAACTAATACAGCTCATCTCTTTTTCATTTCCTGACTTTAATGCCTCTTTAAGTTAGCAAGTTCAATCAGGTTTGAACATATGCTTTTTCAATCAAGTCTCTCTGCACAGTGTCTTTGTGACAGAGGTGGTCACCGAAGCTGGGGTTCAGGTGACCGCTAGAGATATCTCTGGGCTCCTTTAGTGCCTGTCTGAAATAGCCAAGGAAGAGAGGAAAGAGCCAAGCAGCCGGGAATACAGCCCACCTGCCCCAAGTCAGAGAGAATGTCCTGCATCAGTTAGGCCTCATAATTTTTGCCCTAAATCTCATCCCCATAACAGAAATGTAAGAGCTTTGTCTCTTCAAAAATCCACCAGGTTCCAGAGGAGATGGAGAAGGCATGTGGGGGCCTACTTGGGGGATATGATCTTCATTTTAGTTTCCTTGTCCTTCTGTCAATAACGGAAAGTTAACTTGCTTGGATTTGCTCCAGCCAGTGTTTGGTGATCCATAAAAAGGGGAATGGAATAATAAGAAAAATGGAAACAAACAACACTACACACACACCACACTCATCTATTATTTAAAGCATTTTACTCCTTCACAACAAGCCAAGTGTTTCCTAAGCCACTGTCGTGAGCCTGACGCTGAGTTGGCGCTGTGGGGAGTGCCCATGCAGGCTTTTTGTGTGATGCCCAGAATCAGTGCTGGTGCAACCAGAGGTGGTAAAAAGAAAGTGAGGAGAACCAAAGTTGACTGACTGTGCTGACATTCCTCATTAGGGTTGCACGTGGGAGAGAGAGAGAACTAGTGTGCAGGTTAGCAGCTTGAGCTTTGACCATAGACAAGTGTTTCTCCACTAACTGTGTGACCCTGGTCAAATTATTTAATCTCTCTAGGTCTTGATTTGTTCATCAGTAAAAGCAGAGATAAGAGTACCTAGCTCATAGCAGATTGCTGTGATGATAACCCTCATAGGAGGGTTAAATAAATAAAACATATAATGTGCTTAACCAGTCTTGCACAAAGTAAGCACTCAATAAATGTTAGCTATAAGAGTCCCTCCTCTTCCTGCATGCACACACAGAAACTCCTATCTCGAAGTCCAGGGGGCCTCCGGCACCCACCTGTGAGAAAGGGAAGGTGATCTTCCCCTCTATTGCTTAATTTGCTCACCATGGATTCCCAGGGAATCCATCATTTCAGTGAAAAGTTTTAAATTTTGACTTTTTAATTTCAATATTTTATTACTGAATACATTTAATGTCTTGATATTTTAAAAAACCAAATCTAACCTGATTTTGGATCACATCTATGACTACCTTATAACCAAACACTTAACCAGTGCCATTTAATTTTAGTGCCCACGTTTGCTTTTAGGTTCATAACTGTGTTGACACTAAGTGATCACAGAAAACCACAGCTTTAAACTTTCCTTTACACTGAGCTGTGGGCCCGTATTTTTCTGTATTTCTTAAGTTTGAGGAAAACTGAGCAATGACGAACACCATGGAAAGTAGGAGTGGGGAATGTGGGAGGCCATGTCTAGGGATGTTCCAGGAGTATCTCCAAAATGGAGAAAGTTCCAGAAATAG